AAAATGCCCCCCCCCCCCCACCCTAAAAAATAGCTTTAAGAGGTATTTATAAGGTAGGGTTAACGTGTCCATGTACAAAACTAAGGAGGAAATGAAATTGGTTCGGATAGCATCGTTGGCGCGAGGCACTATATGGAGCACCAATATTTCTGCGCGAAGCACTGTCTGGGGCACCAATATTTCTGCGCGAGGCACTGTCTTTGGCGCCAATGTTTCTGCGCGAGGTACTGTTTGGGGTGCCAATGACAGTGCCCTGGACAATGCCTTGTACTGTCTATGGCCATGACTTTTCATTGCCTTGCACATCTTCTTTTATTGCTCTATTTTGTAGCTCTGACGTACCATTTCGTGCAACATTTCTCCAATTCATGCCCAAGCATTCCTGCATGTGAAATCAGCCAAACTCGCTAATTTGATACTCCTATGCATCTTTATAGAGATTTATGGTTGTGATTTTGGCACTAGAATATCTTTAGCATGGATATTCAAATAATACCACTATATGCTTTTTACACAGGTTAATTTTGATGGTGGTAGGCACTACTAGAAAAAGACTAATTTTTGATCGTCCAATCGATCGAAAATTGAGTTTTTACGACGGATTTCCGATCGAAAAATATTGGTTGGAAAACACATGGTCGTAAAATATTTGCGACCTCAGTCGACAATTTTCGATGGATTTGGTCGCAAACTGAAAAATAAAGGACGCACTTGAATTTAAGTGATTGTGACCGAATTGGTCTGTAAATTTGCGACGGACTCGGTCACTAATTAAAATTAAAAAAAATATAAAAATTAAATTTTTCGATCGATTCAGTCGGAAATTTAAATAATAAAATTAATATTTAATTAATATTCTGACCGAAATAGTCATACATATTGAGTATAAATTAATTTAAAATTTTCAGGAATTCACAATTTGCGACCGAATCAGTCGCAAATCTAGGTAATTTCTAGTGATATTTACGATTGATTCGGTCATAAATCAGCCCCAAATCTGGAAATATTTAGCAGAATTTTGTTGTAGTTTTAATTACACCACCTGCCAAATAAAACAGCCAACCAAATACCTAGTATAACAATTCAAATTCAATATTTACTACAAACCGAACAATAATATTTATATCAACCAACCAACTAATCAAACAACATTAACGAGGTTTGTTACAAAATTTGCTCATAAGGCCATCTCATATTAGGAGTGAATCTCATTGATGCATACAACCTCTTTAACTTTGGTATAAGGGGTAAGTAGTGCATCACCTTCACCAGGATCTTCTTCTTTGTATCATTTGTGACATCATTGTAACGAGGCTTGTTACAAAATTTGCAGTTCTCTAGAGATGCATCATCCTTATAAAATAAAATGCAACCATTCTCACTGCAATGAATCCTCTCTGATGAAATACCCAACTTGGAAACCTATTATTTTGTCGTGTAGAATTCTTTGGATAGGTCGATGTTACTCGGATTAAGTTCATTCATAAGCCCAATGATATAATTCATGCCCGATTGAGAAATAGAACTATCCGACTTAATCTGAAGTAATCGAACAGCAACAGACAACTTGGAATGCACTGAGTCTTCATACAACGGACAACTAGCCTCCTCTAACTCTTTGAAAAATCGCTTAGCCTCGTCATTTGGTTCAAATTGAGCCCTCGGGAACATCTCAAAGGCATTCCTCATCATGTCATTGAATCTAGAATATTCAATATTATTCTCCACTACGGGACTACCCTCCTCACTACCAAAAGAATTATGAAAATCAACATTATTTACGCTATCTAGATTCTCCTCATGAGCAGTCCACACATAATAATTTTTCATAAATCTCTTTTTAAAAAGATGACATGTAACAACATCTTCTCCCAATAACTTAATGCACATGCATTTCACACAAGGGTACCTAATCGTCCCTTCAATACGAAAATCATCAAATGTCCTTGGCTTAGCAATAAATCTAGCAAATCCTTCTTTAAATTCATCCCTTAACCCCACACGATTAGGATGATTCCTATTATACATCCATCTACGATGCGCAAATGCCATCTACACAAAGAAAAAAAATAAAAGTTGACATATTTATTTAATATTATACTAATTACTAAATTATATTCTCCCAATGGTTAGCGAAATAGTTTAAGTCTATATTTTAATATAATACTTGGGTGCTTTCAATATTAATAGGTACATTAAACTATTATAAGACAAAAAAGTTCTAAAACATATAAATTAATCTAATTTATTTCAAATTAGCATATAATACCGCTCTAATACTTAATTGACTGCATTTTCTTCATTTCATTCCAATAATAAATAATATAATTAACTCATATATAGGGCATGGAGAATTTTCAACTTGAACGTATAAAAGTTCTAACTCTTTAATTATTCTAACTTGAATGAAAAAATATATATTTTCAACTCTTAACTAACCTAACTTGAATGTATAAAAATTCTAACTAAAATATTATTCAACTCTATGAGAGAAGTTTTAGCACTTAAGTTATTTTTTATATAAACAAGAAATTCATAATTGTAGAAAATACCCAAATTATTCTAAATTTTTTCTTGATTTATTATTGGATACATACAAGTATACTAGCCATTTTCACAAGAACATCTAACTAAAAGAGAAAAAATAGCTAATTAATCTAAACAAGTAAATTTTTAAAAAGTCACTATATACAAACTATATTACAAAAATTATTGCCAATTTATCCATACTATATTGCAAATTATATAGCTAATTTATACATACTAAATTGCTAAATAATGCAATAAAAAAATTACCTTGTACCAAAGCCGTCGAGTTCACTGCATCGGAGATATTGTCGGACCACCACCGTAGGGGAGAAGAGCCACCGGATTCACTACACCAAAAAAGAGTTAAACAAATTGGGGCAAAAAATTTATGGGGAAGGGGGAATGAACGGGTGGGAGAGGGAGAAGGAGAGTGAGAGAGAGGGAATCTGTGTGTTAATTACCTTGTGTGGAGAAGAGATAGGTCACGTGGGAGAAGAGGAGGAGAGGGGAGGGTAGGAAATAAAATTAGAGAAGAAAGAAGAAAAACGG